GGACAAGGATACTGACTAATTGTTACGAAAACCCAGTAACAGGCTGGATGCTAGAAGGGCAGTCCTTTCTAGTATTCACTGGAGATCTCTAAGCTTTTAGAATCGCATTTTTTGTAACACCTCTCCCACTCTCTCAGTATCTCGCTGGTTGTGGCCTCTCCCACTCTCCCAGCATCCTTCATGTCTTCACACATTTTATTAGGGGGAGTTTCCTCGTTGCCAAGTCAGTTTGTCAATTAACTCAGAGAAGGTATGTTGGCTACAAGGGAGTCAGTGGTAGGTTTGTAAGTGAGAGGTTTCAGCATTACACAGTGAAATTGACGGGCCCAGGAGCACTGCTCCTCAGTGTAGCGAACATGACACAAGAGAGAGAGAGAGAGAGAGAGAGAGAGAGAGAGAGAGAGACCTCCCCTCCCTGCCTACACTTCAACATACATCAAAGCTTCTCCTTGATAGCGCCTTCAGCCTCTGTGTGTGTGTGTGTGTGTGTGTGTGTGTGTGTGTGTGTGTGTGTGTGTGTGTGTGTGTGTGTGTGTGTGTGTGTGTGTGTGTATGTATGTATGTATTCGTGTGCGAGCGAGCTAGAGAGAGAGAGAGAGAGAGAGAGAGAGAGAGAGAGAGAGAGAGAGAGAGACAGCCAGTGCCCCCCACTACCCCTATACTAATCCTCCACTCTCCCAACCCCTCTCATCCCCGTCAAACCCATACATAACCCCTCCCCATCACATATACATGCCCCCACCATCCCCTGCCACTACTCTCCAGACATCTCACCACCGCGGCCACTTCACACATCAATCACATACATTCGTATATATATATATTATATATATATATATATATATATATATATATATGTATATATATATATATATATATATTATATATATATATATATATATATATATATATCTTGATATACCAATATACCTGTTCTGTGATGGTATATATATATTCCTGAAGAGTGACAATATACCTCTTTATTACAGGATAGTTATACTTCGTATATCTCATTGACAATGATACAGAGACCAGGAGCTGTGGCTCGACCCCTGCAATCACAATAAGGTGAATTAAGTGAACACACACACACACACACACACACACACACACACACACACACACACACACACACACACACACACACACACACACACACACAGCACGCACGCACGCACGCACGCACGCACGCGCACACACACACACCACCTACTGGAGAATTTAATCAGATTCCCAATTCTCCATTACCAAAAAAAAATCCAAGCAGGCGCCTGGTGAACGGCAGACAACGGGAGATAATTCTCACATTCAGGTATTAACAGTAGCATTTCCCTGTTGTACAGAGCACCGCCGCTCCTCCAACGGCATTTTTTTCTTTTGAGAGAGAGAGAGAGAGAGAGAGAGAGAGAGAGAGAGAGAGACTGAAGAAGACATTTTGGAGTCGTCAGGGACATTGATACATGTCTGCAAACGTTTTTATTTATCACCAGACATTTCCGTAATTCCGGATTTACACAGGACGTTAAAGGTATTTTCATCGTGCGTGTCCGTATATCCATCGTGCATTTTCGTATTTTCACCATACATATCCAGATTTCCGGACTGCATATCCAGACCTCCACATTGAATATCCAGATTGCATATCCAGATTTCAGTACTGCTTATCCAGACCTCCACACTGCATATACAGATTTCCACTTTAAACAACTGCATTTCCACTAATGATTTCCGTATTTCCAAAACCAGAACACACACACACACACACACACACACACACACACACACACACACACACACACACACACACACACACACACACACTCATTTTAGTCTGCCCAGGTAAGTGATACCACCTGTGTTTAAGGTGGGTTAAGGTTAATTAAGTTTACCCCGACCTCGTTCAGCAGCGTACCCACCCACCCACACACACCCACACCCACACACATCCACACCCACCCACACACACACATACCCCCCACACACCCACATATACACCCCCCCCCACACACACATACACCCCCACACACATACACCCCCACACACACACACATACCCCTCACACACACACGTACACCCCCCCACACACACATGCACCCCCACACACACACACACACACATCTCCACCCCCCCACCCACCCCCACACACACACACACCCACAAAGGTAATGTTTGTAGACACACCAGAAAAAGGAAAGGAGGGACGGAGGGAAAGAAGAGGGGAAGATGAGAGAGAGAGAGAGAATAGAAGAATAGAAATAAAATAAGAAGAGAAAATATAACAAGAAAAGATTTACCAAGAGGTGCAGAGAGAGACACTGACAGACTGAAAGTGTTAACAAACACAGGCGTAAATGTAAATATTGTAAATGAACATGTAAACAGAAAGGATTTCTAGTGTTTATGGCACAATGCTAGAGATTAACTCTCATTCTATTACTATTTTCTCTGTTTCCTATTAACATTTGCCTATTTATCTATCTCTCACCTATAACACTTTACCTATCATTATAACAATTTATCTATCACCTACAATTTATCTATCACCTACAATTTATCTATCACCTACAATTTATCTATCACCTACAATTTATCTATCACCTATAACAATTTACCTACATGTGCCCATTACTTAACTGCGTATTACCCATTTATCTACTAATTTTTTTCTCAACTTTCCCGCCCCCTGGGTGGCACCCACAACCGTCTATTAACATCCAGGTACCAATTTACTGATAGGTGAACTTGGGCAGTGTGTGTAAAGGCGACTTTCCTAAATGTATCTCCTCGTCTGGGGATCGAACCTGGGAGAATCCGGTTGTGAGTGGAGCAAGAGGAGGGAGAGGAGGAAGAGGAGGAGGAGAGGAAAAGGAAGAGGGAGGAGAGATGGCGAAAAGATGAAGAAAGAGGACGAAAGGAGTAGAAAGGATTATGAAGGAGCATCGACAGATGATGCTGGAGAAAAATACTGAAGAGGTATGGGAGAGGGTGTGAGGGAGAGGCTGTGAGGGAGAGGCTGTGGGGGAGGTGTGGGTGTGGGGATAAGGGTGTTGGGGTGAGGGTGTGGGGGGAGAGGTGTTGGGGTGTGGGTGTGGGGGAGAGGGTGTTGGAGGACAGGGTGTGGGAGGAGTGGGGGAAGGTGTGAAACACTGATAACAGATCAATCGGGGGAATACCTGGAGTATACCTGGAGGGTGTTCCGGGGGCCAACGCCCCCGCGGCCCAGTCCTTGACCAGGCCTCCTGGTGGATCAGGACCTGATCAACCAGGTTGTTACTGTTGGCCGCACGTAGTCGAATGTACGAACCACAGCCCGGCTGATCGAGTACTGACTTTAGGTATCTGTCCAGCTCCCTTTTGAAGGCAGCCAGGGGCCTATTTGTAATTCCCCTGATACATGGTGGGAGGCTGTTGAACAGTCTTGGGCCCCGGACACTTATTGTATCTTCTATGTGTACTAAGCCTGTTATCTGACCCAGTGCCAGGGTCATGGCTCTCCTGACACATGTCGGCAGCAGTAGCAATGGCAACAACAGTCGCAGCAGCACCACCAGCAGCAACAGCAGTGTCCTACACCCCTTCACGGTCTACATAACATGAACAATGTACTCTGCAGTGAAGGGAGGGTAATGGGGAGGAGTGAGTGAGAGGAGGGGAGGGATAGGTAAGGGGGAGGGGAAGTGGAAGAAGAGTGAGGGGGAAAAGATTAACTGTTCATCCTGCTCAAGCCTTTGTCTGACCCCTGACATGACACCAGACAGGAAGAGGAAATTCATGGTAGAACACGTACACACGTACACACACACACACACACACACACACACACACCACACACACACACACACACCTCAGACCTCTGCAACACAATTGTCCTCAAAGATTTGTTAAATTATACCATGAATTAAGAAAAGATCCTAGACATGACCTTACGAAAGCAGACAAAGCAAATGCGGTAGTAATTATGGACAAGATAGATTACGGGAAGAAAAATAGCATTAGAAGACAGGAGAACTGACGTGCCCTTTAAGTGCTTCATTACCACTGTAATCTAATGAACTATCAAAATAAACCATGCCACGGGTAGGGTTTGAACCCGCGGTCAGAGAGAGTCGTGGTATGGTTTGTTTACAATCGTGTCATTACGATTTCATGAGCCAGCACCTGGCGGTGATGGTGCTTTTACTCTCCACAAAACAAATGTTTCCTGATACCCCATACCCACACGATGGGTATGGGGTGAGTAAAAAACTATTAAACCACACTGGCTAACTGCCTCTGCTCCTCCTCCTCTCCACCTCACAGTCATGTCTTATTCTTCCTGCTCCTATGCCTTCACATCCTCCTCCTCGTCTCATCCTCCTGTTCCACCATAAAGACAGCAGAGGAAGGGTACATCACAAAAACTGCTATAGCATCAGTGTAACACATCTCTGTGTGCCCCAGGAAAAAGCGCCTCGTTCCCGAATGGGTTTTACCAATCTGCCACATTAGCTTCTCATGTGCGGCCGCCCCAGGCAGCTACAGTGCCAGGCTCGCCTTTCACACCGAGCTTGATGCACATTTTTGTGCATCAAGCTGTGTAAGTTACAAGCAAGACAAGACATTCTGCACTTACCTGCTGGTGGAAATCCTCCAGTAACTCAGGGCGCGGAAGGATATACAGTAACGCACCTTGGTGATGGTTACACAGGGGTTAAATCAGGGTGTATCTGTCTCCTGGGAGTAACATCCGTGGAGGTGGCACATTGTAAAATAGGGGAAGAGAGAAGGTGGTGTGTGCATGGGCGTGGCAATACCCCGCAGTGTTAAAACCACACACTGCACAGCATGCTCTTTTTGGCGCATTTCCTCCCTCTGTGTAGAGCTTAGCAAGTCATGAGTTACAGCTCTACAAAGAGCGAAAAGTTGTCCCGATAAAAGCTTGCTGTGTGGCCAGTGGCTTCACTACTGCAGGCAGCACGCCATCTGGATGACAACACAGAGTAAGAGAGTGTTGTACTAACCTCCTTGTCGGGGTCCTTGAGAGAGATCTCCACACGGTAGGAGAGTTCGTCCTCCCGGCTCACCCTCACGCCTGTGGCCTGCTCGATCTCACACAGAGCCTCGGGCTGTAGGAAAACAAACATCAAACCTAGTATAAAACACACACACACACACATACACACACTATACATGCTACACACAATTACATGATTGTGTGTGTGTGTGTGTGTGTGTGTGTGTGTGTGTGTGTGTTATGACTCTGAAGTGTACTGAACACTTATGAAATGTAAAGTACACATTATAAGTAGCATTAATAAAACTATATTTTATTTATAACAAGTAGTAAGTTCGATAAAACATTTATTCTTCTGCATGGGCTCTTGATCCAAAGAATTGGAACTACTTAACCTTTCCTACGATCAAACCCAATTTCAATTCTCCAGGGTCTGGGTAATCCTATAGCTTTAGGAATCACCCAAAAAGATACTAAATTATTAATAATAGTATAATATAATTATTATTATTAGATGTATTTAGATGGCTGAGTGATCGGAGAAGGATATATCTGTATTGCGTAACTCCAGTTACCCTGTACCTCAATGCAAGCGAAAAGATTAGTGCAGAGTGCGGCATAAGTTGATAATACAGTTAAGTATCAGCGGTGAAGATCTGAGGCCATCCAGAAGAGGCACTCACAAATTATCACATAGAAACCAATCTCCCAATTTCTGTACTACAAATAGCAACTTAGGGAAACAGCACAAAACTAATACAATCCTTCCACTAAGAAACAACAAGTTTGAAGCCAAGCTGGAGAGGCATTGTCTCTTATCTCAGAGACACGCCAATATCCTAAGATACGCCAGGTTTGCATTATCAACTTACCACCGCTGAAAAAATTAAAGGTAATCGGACGAGACTCAGAAATTATCGTATGAAAACCGGCATTTCAACTTTCCCAATTTCTTCCATTAAAAAAATTCAAATTGGGACGTACACAGGACAAAATCACTCCAAACTGACCGTTAAGTATGAATGCAAGAAATTAATGTAGCAATTTTTTTACAATGGTCTTCAGGGACCATGGATGTTACAGGCAGATAAAAATACTTTATGTAAAGTTAACCTAAGATAACCCAACAGAAGAGACATTCTCCAGTAGTCGACTGGTGTGGGTGGCATCCTGGGGGACAAGATTGAAGGACCACAATGGAAATAAGACAGACAGTCCTGGAAAAACCCCACTGACTTTTTTGCGAAATTTCCCGGGTGGCAAACCCCTTTCCGGGGGATAAAAAAATTCCAAAAAAAAAATTTTCCATCTTAAAAAACTGTACCTGAAAAGAAACCGGGCCCCTTGAATTAATTCTACGGGTTTAAATTTAAGGCTTAATTTATCAAATTAAGGAAAAATTTAAAAAACTTTCATTGGGGAAAAAGTGAAAAACCTTTAGGGGTTCGAAACATCATGTAAATGAGAAAAAAAAAAGGGAAAGTTTTTGAGTATCCAAAAAGGAAGAAGATAGAAGCTCCTTTTTCTTTTAAAAGATTATTAATTCACTTTCTTGTGTGGAACTTGCATAAACTTATTTAAAAAACCCTGAGTTTTTAAAACCCATCGGTTAATAAGCCATTTTTCCTTTTCATTTTTTTTACCCTCGAAAAATTTACAAATCTGAAAAAAAACTATAATTTTTAATACGAAAACAAAAGGGGAAACTAATTACTTAACCCAGGATAACCCAAAAAAAAACCCACTAACGTTTTTTTCCCATTGGGATCCATCGATTCTTTTCCCCCAGGTTTTCCGACCCAAACAGTCGCCTAACCCCCATGTCCCTACTTACTGCTAGGTGAACAGGGGCAGCAGGTGCGAGAAAACATACACAAATTTTCTGTTTGAGCCGGAATCGAACCCTTAAACCTTCAGATTTTGACCAAAGGCTTTCCACTTAAGGTTTAGATTAAAAAAACAAGAGAGTTTCCACTCTTTCCCCTTTTCGCACGTAAAAACAAAGACTTTTAAAACAAAACTAAATGAAATTAATAACCAAGCAAATTAAAATACTGCTAATAAAATTTTCCATCTCTAATATTGGCTAAAAGGGACTAAAGGGGAGAAAGAAACCCAAAGGCAAACTAGAAGCTAAATCGTAAAAAACCTGAAAAAAATACACTCACCTTTTCATTTTAACCTTCTCAAGTGTGACGTTTTGAAAATAAACGTCTAAAAAAACGGCATTCCCAAATTGGATAACGCGCCACAGTAATATTCTTTTCATGTAATATTAAATTTCTACTCAAAAAACGAACAGAGAAAGGAGTTTTACGAACTAAAGAGAAAATTGAAGGGAAATATTATTTAACGAAGCGCTAAAACCCTAAGGGAAATTTTTGCGAAAGGGGAAGGGTGGCGGTGTAGGGAGCGTGTGTAACAAACGACTTCTACAACTTAAGCCCTGACCTGTTCAAAAAACACTTAGAGAAAAAATTGAAATTTTTTGTGCCCAAAAAGAACAAATTGAACACCCTCCCACTAACCCCTTTTTTTAAAAGACAGCAACTTGGGAACCTAAGGGCCCCGCTCAGGGCGAAACGGCCCCCTTAAAAAAACAATAAAGGGTTTAAGTATTTTAAAAAAAATTTTAATCGAAAATTAAATAGCTTTAGTAATTAATCGAGGAATAAACCCGGATAACGCAATTTACGCATTTGTTCCGCTACGTCCATTATTGTAAACGTGAGAAGAGAGAGTGAGAGAGATAGGGGGGAAGAGAGATGGGGAGAGAGAAATGAGAGAGAGAGAAGAGAGAGAGAGAGAGAGAGAGAGAGAGAGAAGGGGCAAGGTAGCAGTAAAAAGGGATATAAATAAAGGGGCCGGGAGGAAGAAGAGAAGAAAAGAGAGAGAGGGAAAACAGTTTTAGTAAAGGCAAAAAAGCCCGAAAAAAAAAAAAAGAAAAAATGAGAGGAAAGGGGGAGGAGGAGGGGGAGGAGGAGGGGAAGGGGGGCAGTGTGAGAGACAATGAGGATGAAGGGGAAAAATTGGGGTTCTCCCCCTTTGATAAAAAATTGGACGGGGAGGAACCAATGCAACTCAAAAACTGTCTGGTCAACCCTAAAAGGGAAAAATTAAAAAAGAGAAACAAGATTTGAAACAAGAAACTATGTCTAGTATTGAAACCCCCCCCCCCAAAATCTCACCCCAATTTCTATATATATATATAAAAATTTTTAAAAATTTTTTAAAAATTTTTAAAAAAAATTTAAAAATTTTAAAAAAAAAATTTAAATTTAAAATTTTAAAAAATTTTAATTTTTATAAAATTTTTAAAAAATTACTTTTTATCCAAGGAATTCGCGGGAGACCCAAATTTGGCGAAACCCAAATACACAAAAAACTGATTCCCCCGGCGGGGAAGGGACGGGCCTCAACCGGGGGGGAAAAAGGTGGGGTGTTTAAAATAACCCCCGGGGCCCAATCCTTTTGGGGGGGGGTTAGGGGTCCAGGGTTGACCAAGGAGGGGGGGGGGCTTTAGGGGGAAAGGGGTTTTTGGTTTTTTTTTGATTTTTTAAAACCCTGTTTTTTTGTTTTTGAAAAACCCTTTTTCGGGAATAGAATTGTATTAAATTTTGGGGGGAATCTGTTGGCGGGGGGGCCGGGAGGGATGGGGGAGGGGGGGGGTGTCCCTTTGAAAGGGGGGCCCCTTGGGGGGGATTGTAGTATGAAAGAAGGTTTGGTTGTGTGGGTGTTTGGGTTGTGGTTTTTGGTTTGTGTTGGGTTTTGAGGTGTGTTTTTTTAAATTATTTTATTTTTTTTTTTTTTTTTTTTTATTTTTTTTTGTTAAAAAGGGAAAAATTGGTTTTGGGGTATTTTCGGTGAATGTGCGTTAGGGGTTGGAATTTTCTTTATTTCGGGGTTTTTTGGGGTTATTTGAATTTAAGTTTATGGTTTTTATTTTACTTTAAAATTTTATTGGTTTATTTTTATTTTATTTATATTTATTTTTTATTTTAAATTATTAATATTTTTTTGTTTATTTTATTTTTAAAATTTAAATTTTTATTTTAAAATTTTTATTTAAAATATTTCTATTTTTAAAAATTTATTTTTATTTATTTTTAATTTATATTTTTATAATTTTTAATTTAATTATATTAATTATTTTTTTAATTTTGATATTTTTTCTTTTTTTTTTAAAAATTGTTTTTCCTTTTAAAAAGGTTTTTTTTTTTTTAAAATTTTTTTGAATTTTTTTATTTTATTTATTTTAAAATCTTTTTTTTTTTTTTTAAAATTTAAAATATTAATTTTTTCAAAATTTTTATTTATTTTTTTTAAAAATTTTTCTTTTATGTTTTAAAAATTTACTTTTTTTATTTTTTATTATTTTTATTATTATTTAATTTTTAAAAATTATTTTTATTAATTTTTCCTTTTCTTAATTTTTTAATTTAAAATTTTCTCTTTTTAAATTTATTAAAAATTGTTTTAAAATTAAAAATTATTTAATTTTTTTTTTTTTTTAAAAATTTGAATATTTCCTTTTTAATAAATTTTATATTTTTATTTTTAAAAATTTTTTATTTTTTTTCATTATTATCTTAAATTTTTTTTCCTTAAAAATTAACCCATTTTTTCCCTTTTATTAAAAATTTTTTTTAAAAATTACTTTTATAATAAATGTTGTTTTAATTTGGTTTTTTTAAAAATTTTATTTTTTAAAATATTTTTTTATTAAAAATTTTATATTTATTTTTTTTTTTTTTTTTTTTTTTTCTTTTTTATTTATTTTTTATTTGATTTTTTTTTATTTTTAATTTTTTAATTTATATTTATTTTTTTTAAAATTTTATAATTTTTTTTTAAATTATTTTTTTTTTTATTTTTATATTATTTTTTAAATATATTTTATTTTATTTTATATAAAATTTTTTTTGGTTTAATTATATATTTTTATATTATATTAATTTTTTTTTTTTTCTTATTTTTGTGTTTTATGTTTTTTTTTTTTTTAGATTTTTTTTTTTAAATTTTATTTTTTTTAAATTTTTTTATTTTTATAATTATATTTTTTTAATTTATTATATTATTTAAATTATTTTATATTTTATTTATATATTTTTT